AGGAATGCTCAGAAGACTGGTACCACAGGCAGGCTATAAAGCGTGTTCCCCCCTTAGGCAGAAGGTCAGACTTGGAAATCTGAGCTCCTGCTAACAGCAAATGGTGCCTCTTAAAACCTCAGGCTGCAACTAGACTGGCATGATTTTGCACAAATACTTTTAACGGAAAAGTTTTTCTGTTAAAAATATTTGCACAAGAGAGCGTCTATACTGGCATGTGCCTTTGCACAAAATATTTGCTTTTGCACAAAAGCATCTGTGCCCAGTGTAGATGCTCTCTTGTGCAAGAAAGTTCCAATGGCCATTTTAGCCATCAGGCTTTCTTGCACAAGAAATTAACCTGTCTGTCTACACTGGCTCTCTTGCACAAGAATACTTGCGCAAGAGGGCTTATCCCTGAGCAGGAGCGTCAGAGTATTTGTGCAAGAACCACTGATTTTGTACAGTACAAAGTCAGTGTTCTTGCACAAATACTTGCAGCCAGTGTAGACAGGCAGCAAGATTTTGCACAAAAGTGGCCGCTTTTGCGCAAAATCTTGCCAGTCTAGACTCAGCCCCAGACTCCACTGAACAATGAAACCAAACTAACCCTGGAAACCCCAGCGAAAATGACAAAGACTAGAGCAGCTCTGAGCTACACCCTTTTGCCCCACCAGCCAGGGTTCACTACACCCTTCCCTGCACTAGTGGTTCCTTCCAGGGAAGACCGGGACTAGAGTAACTGAGCTTCTCCTGGACACAAGCATCAGCTATTTCTGCGAGGAAAACAAGAGATGATGATGCTGAGTATCATCCATGCCCACTGATTTCAGGATGGCCCGTAGGGATGTGAATGGGTTAACCAGTAACCCAGCTTAGGGTTAACCATTACCTGGGAGCAGCTGGCTGCAGGCAGAAGACTGCTCTACAGGGCTGGGAGTTGGCAGCTTCATGAGGGGTGCCCTCCTCACCCCACCCTACCCTACCCTACCCTACCCTACCCTGCTCCTGGTCCCATGCAAGAGCCAGTATCCCGGCATGGGGTCAAAAGCAGCCCCTGTCTATGGTGTGGGAGCCACTCAAGCCCAGTCCCCCCCTCACCCCAGCCCCATTTAATCAGTTAACTGGTGAAACAAAACATTAACTTTGTAACTAATTAAATAGGATTTTACATTCCTAATGGCTGGCCTCTCCCAGGATTCATCCCTTCCTTTGTGGCTGGAAATGCTCATGTTACATGGTTGTAATACAAAGCGGCCGGGACAGGCAACTCGTGGTAGCCATCAGGAGAGGCACCACTGGCCTCCTGTGCCCTCACCAAAATCTTGCTCGCTAAATGGGCTAATCTTGCTCCTCATGTCCCTTCCCAGTTCTTCTAGGTGGCTCTGTCTGCACCCCAATCCTCTGAAGGCACCAGTCACCAAGTTGTGGCAAAAAGAAAGTTCTCATCTATCCTTCCCTGTCCCAAAAGCTGATGTGCTGACTGTCAATCACCTTTCAGTGAAGGATCAGTTGGCTGTAATATGGGCAACATGACCAAATGGCAAAGATCAGAAATGTGGCAAACTGATCATGTACCAAAAAAAGATTTAACAACAACCCATAGGCACTCTGGCCTGGAACCATTGGGCATCAGGTATCTAAACGCCTTTGAGGAGCTGGGGCTTACTGAGTTTGTTATAGAAAGTGATTGGAAAAATACTAATCACAGGAGGAAACTATCATCAAACTTCAGAAGTCCTTTGTCAGACTAATGTCTACATCCTGCTCCAACACAGCAAAGTTCTGTCAGTAAGAAGGCAGAAAGGAAATGAGAAACAGCAAAACACAGTGTTTTATTTACAGCCCTCCATTTTCTGCACATGCTGATGAGCCCAAGCATGTTCAGTCAAGAGGCTTTCATCTGCAGTGGGTCTGCTCTGATAGATTTTTTTTCCCTCAAGCCCTTCCTCATTTGAGGGAAAAGTTAAGAACTTTCTTGCAATATTCTGTACTGAACAAGAGAATTCTGGAACTAAGTTGGGTCAATGGGTGGTGTATTTCCAGACATAAAACCAAAACTGCACTATGAGTCTCAAATGACCTTGATAGCAGAAAAAGGAAAACTAGCATCAAGAAAGAACTAATGTAATGCATCTAGGAGAGAGCACAGTGTGTGCCTCTCCTCTGTTAGTAGCTGCAGCCACTCTAAGAACAAGATGGTAGAGGGAAATTCACCTACAGAGGACTAGTGCAAAGTCTATGCACTGGGATAAATATCCCATCTTATAGGGTCCTCGTTTGGGCAGGAGAACATCTTAGGCTGGGTTAGCACTAGGCAGCATAATGTGACAGCTTCATGTGATACAAATGCAATGCTTTAAAAATTGATAGCAGAAAACTTGCAGATTAGAGCAGAAGTGGAGGTGAGGCAAGGCCGGCGGGGGAGGGAGGAAAGGCTTTTTGCATGCTTGTGATTTTCTCCCTTTCCTGCACACACAGTTCAGGGTGGGGCTGTTAATTAGTATTAATAATAAGCATTTAGGCTGGAATGGTTGCTTTACCCCAGCCCTGGCAAAGGGCAGTGCTTACTGTGCAGCCCCTGGAGCAGAGTGAGACGCTAGCCAGTGCATGGAGGAAGGGAGAGGGGGCAGAGCTCAGATTTCGTCTCTACCCCATCTTCCACCTGCGCAGCAGGGAAGGGCAAAGTGACTCTAAATTACCTGGGCTGCATCTAGATTGGCATGATTTTCCGGAAATGCTTTTAATGGAAAAGTTTTCTGTTAAAAGCATTTTCGGAACAGAGTGTCTAGATTAGCACAGACGCTTTTCCGCAAAAGCACTTTTTGCGGAAAAGCGTCCGTGCCAATCTAGACGTGCTTTTCCGCAAAAAAGCCCCGATCGCCATTTTTGCAATCGGGGCTTTTTTGCGGAAAACAAATCTGAGCTGTCTACACTGGCCCTTTTGCACAAAAGCTTTGCACAAAGGGGACTTTTGCCTGAATGGGAGCAGAATAATATTTCTGCAAGAAGCACTGATTTCTTACAGTAGGAAGTCAGTGCTTTTGCGGAAATTCAAGCGGTCAGTGTAGACAGCTGGCAAGTTTTTCCAGAAAAGCGGCTGATTTTCTGGAAAAACTGGCCAGTCTAGACACAGCCCTGCTGTCTTCCTCATGCTGTTACCTGTCACAGGAGGCCACTCAAAGGAGTGAAGGACGCCTTCTCCTCCTTTGCTCCCTTACGCGGCTAGGCCATGAGTTAGTTACTTTGAATGGGGTTTAACAGAGAAATCTGTGAGGACGGGCCCCTCGCCTGAAGAAATTATAATTGAATTATAAAGTTTCAACCTGGCAAAGAGTGACCTGGTCCCACGGCAGAATCAGGGCTTTATTAATGGATGGTTATTCAAGTATATCTGAAAGCCTTGTTGTTTGCCTTTTCCTTGGTTTTCTTTCTCCTTTTATTACCATTTCTTTAAATTACAGAGATGAGATCTCCTCTGGTGTCTTGTCCACAGATCCATTAACCAAAGCATCCAAGCAACCCGTATCTATTAAATAAAGCAGTAAGAAAAGATAAACTTATTGAAACTGCCATTCACTAATGCCTGCTGTTCCAAAGCAAACATAAGGATTAAATTAAAGAGGAAAAGCAAGAGGGGAGGAGAAGACAATTACCTCAATGTCTCCCAGTGGCATTTGCCGATAAGTGCGATAAGAGAATTAAGCATCATTTTGACACACTCTGCCTATTTATAAGGAGCCGGCACCGCACAAAGCCACGAAGCAAAGTAATAGAGGGAGAAAAGGAAGATGAAAAACAATTAACTAAATCCAGGTGACTCCACTGATCTACACACAGCAGAGTCAGAACTCAGACCTCCTCTGGCTATTGTCTGTGCTTCCAAGACTCGCTTTGGTGAGGTACTGCAAGCCTCCTGCAAAATGCCCAATGGCTTCAACTTCCATTAACTTTATAGGGAGCTGAAGGCACCCAGCACCTGACAGAATCAGACCTCTAAGAAAAGACTTAATGGGCCAGATTCTGGTCTTGACTCCAGCCCCTTTGTACCTCTCTGGCAGGGAAAGGGGGATGGTGACAGTGAAGGAGGAACTGTGAGCAGGCTCACCCAGTTCTATCCCCTGTGAATGCCAGAGGGCACAGGTGAGCGTGGGAAGTCCAGAGATGGGGGAGGAGCTGGTGTGAGAGACACTCTAGTGATCGCCAGCTTTCAGAGCAGCCTTTGAGGAGCAGGTACAAGTTGTCAGCACATGTTGCATCACTGAGGAATTCTGGAGCAGCTGAGGGTCCAGCCCAGTGTTCCCTGAAAGACAGTGGTTCTTAAACTTTTTGACCTGTGGTCCACTCTGCTCAACACAGACCTTTCCATGGACAACCAACCAACCACCCATGATGACAAAATGGGTGCAGGAAGGGGTGGGGTCTAGCTAGGAGGTAGTATGCAGCAGTGGGCTGTGTGTGTGTGGGGGGGTTCTGAGTGGGAAGATGGGTGCATGAGTGGGGTGAGGGTAGGGACGGGTTTGGGGAGGGAGGGTGCAGGAGCAGGGTAGGGATGGGAGGTTTAGGAGGGAGAGTGCAAGAATGGGGTGGAGGTGTAGAGTCTGGGTGGGAGTGGGGTGCATGAGGTGGATGGGGGTGCAGGGTCTGGGCCTAGCTCTGTGCCTCCCACTGCTCCCAGGCACCACCTCCGCTGCTTCCACTGGCTGTAATTCTGGCCAATGGGAGCAGTGAGGAAAGCTTCCAGGCAAGTGGTTTCCTGTGCTGTCATTCCCCCAGGCTGGGGAGGTGGAGTGGCAATGCAGGGAGCTGTTTCCTTCCCCCACAAGCCAGATCCAGCCCGCGAGACTTGCTCCCCTCCCCACAGTGGGAAGCCAGTGTTGGCACTCCAACCTTGCATGGGGGGCAGAGCTGGAGCACCAGCACAGGCTCCCTGCTGCAGAGGGGGGTGAGCCCCAAGCCCATGGCCCACACTTTGAGAACCACTGCTGTAAGGGGACGACTTGGGCAGCCACCCAGGAGAGTCAAATTCCACCCAGCTGATTAGCAGAGTACCCACAGCCGGCAGCATGTGTTCCTACTGGTGGTGCACAGCCGCACATGTTTCAGTGCACATAAAATTTATTCCACACACGCGTGGGGAAAAAATAGAGGGAACACTGCCAGCTCTAAATGATAATCAAAGTGACAATATATTTAGCCCTTTTGTATATCGACTGTTACTTTGCCTGTTACTTGAGACCTGGTTCCTTCCTCTCTTGCACCAATTTTACACCAGTGTAATGTCATTTCCTATGGTGAGCTGGTCCTGATGTATCCAAGGAAGAGGAGACTCAGACATTTATGATTTTCACACAGTCCTTCATGGAGAACAAACATCTTCCTTCTATTCTGAGTATCATTCTACCTAGGTGTGTAAAATATTAAACTCACTGACCCTAGAAACCTCTTCCTTCCGCGTCCCGAAGCTGATCCTTCTCAATAATGGGAAAAAAATAATTAATGCAGCACCAGTAGCAGGTGACACATTCAAGGTTACTTCCTCCGAGTCACTGACTGGCATATAAAGGTAACTTTCCCTGACTGAATTATGAGTTTATTAGGCATATGAAACATTCCAGCAGCTTGAACAGGCGATGCAAAATGCAGACACAAATCCTCAGTCGGCATTTGTTCACCATTCCTCTCCTGCCCAACTGGCAGCTCCAAGACTTGCACAGAGTATACTTGCTACTTTGAATAAGAGTTTCTAAACATTTGAACTTCTATCTCACCCATTCATCTATTTACCTTGCTTAGCTATTTATAAATCTCCTAATACTTTGGAACTAGTGTTTTCTGTAAGCGGTGTGCTTGCATAGCTACCCAGGAGAAATTCAAATGCCACCCAGTTCATTAGTAGAGTGCCCATAACTGGCAGTGTGTGTTTATTTGGGTGGTGCACACCTGCACATGCCTTGGTGCACATAAAATTGTTCCACACATGAACAGAGACAATTAGAGGGAACATTGTTTGGAACCTCCATTTAATTCTTTCCTGTTTAAATAATGTATTTTCTCTGATGAAGACTTTTGAGATAGCACTGATTGCAGGGCTCCTAAGGGTAAAAAAAAGCAAAGGTTCCCCATAGCATTGGTCCTGCCTTGGGCAGGGGGCTGGACTTGATGACCTCCTGAGGTCGCTTCCTGTTCTATGATTCTATGAGAAGGGCGGGTCTATACTTAAAACACTGCATCGGCACACCAAGGCAGCTGTGCAGCTATAGTGCTTTAATGAAGATGCTCTAAGGTGACAGAAGAGAGTTCTCTAGTTGGCGCAGTTAATCCACCTTCTCAAGAGGAAGAAGCTAAGTCAGTGGAAGCAGCTCTCCCACCAGTATAGCACTGTCTACACAAGGGGGAGGGGGATTAGGTTGGTATAATTACGTTGCTTGGGGGGGGGGGATTTTTCATCTTCCTGAATGATCTAGTTATACCAATACAGGTCTGCCATGTAGACTAGACCTCTGATTCTGAATATATGACCTCCGTTCTCTTCTCCAAAATCCTCAGAATCTAAAAGCAAGAGTCACTTTCCTGCCCCATGAATGAATGGCTTGGCTTTTTAAAGAGCCCTCCACCCCAGTTTCCCATTGTGTGCCTGCAGTTCTGACCCCAAGGATGACTATGGGAGCAATTGATTGTATGCAGACAGCTGCCTCCATGATTTGCATGGGGTAACCACATGGTCAGGCAGCATTTGCACATGTAATTAATGGTGTTGCAAAATCAAGTCCATAGTCACTGAAAATTTCAGACCCTTAAATCAATTAAATATGTTGTTAAAATTGGCTCTTTATATGCTGATAGGACTGACTGTCTGGTCAGTGTGAGATGTACAGAGGTCAAATATGCCCTGAATATATATTGTTAATAAGTTACTAAAATTCCCTTTCTGCTTCAATCAGGAAGCAATCAGTCTATTCCACACTCCATGACGAGTAGGATTTAAGCAATCACCTCCTTGCCTTAGTCAAGAATAACTGAGTGTCCTGATTTGAAAAGTTCTGTCCAAAGTAAAAGCAGATGCGAAAAGAACCTGGGGTTAAAATTAGCAAGCTAATGCTCCTAGACCTGATAAAAATGATCATCACTTTTGTGGCAAATCCGAGAAGGACGTGGCCTCCTTGCAAATCAAGCATCAACTGCACTGATGTCAGGCAAGGAGCTTAAGATGGTCTGATTGTATATTCAATTTCTGTTCATCTTTGGCCATCTTCTCAACTTTTGGTGGCCACATGATTATGGGCCATGTACTGGCTTTCCTTGATACACAAGCTTTCAGGATTCTTTGGTATCCCTTTCTTATATTATGTCCCTACCAAGTGAACCAATGAAATTGAACACACGAGGTCTTTAAAACTGCTAGAACTGTCTTTCCCCCATTAATTGGGACCCACTTTATAAAATTCTATACTGAAGTTCAGGACTGGCCTCTCAGTCTGATACAGTCACATTTGCAAAAGGGCCAAAGTCACTTAGACTCTTAAGTCCTATTTTCAAATGTGCCATATGCCCTTCAGGGTTAGATTTTAAAAGGTGTTGAGACATCTGAAGATGCAGATAGACCTCCAGAAGGAGCTTTAAATATTGCCTAACCAGCACAAGGGTTTCTGAAAACCCTGCTAGGAACTTCTCTGTTAGTCAGACACCTAAATACCTTTGAAAATCTGAAGCCTAAAAAATCCTAAGTCTCACTGAGCATCAATGGGACTTAGATCCTGAGGGTAAAAATTTCAAAAGCATCTGAGCAACTTAGAAGTGTAAGTCTAATTTTAAAAAGTGACTTAGGTACATAGGAGCCAAAGATCTGTTGACTTTCAATTAACGTCTAAGGCTTAGATTTGTAAAGGGATTTAAGCAATGCTGCACTCAGTATTGAAATGCCTGATTTTGAAGCCTAAATATTATTTTCAAGCGGTCTTGAGACACTTAGGAGCCTAAATCCAATTCACAGGCAACGTATTTAGGCACTGAGGAGCTCAAATATTCAAATAAAAAATGAGACAGGTTCCTAAATCAGTTAGGTATTACAGAACTGAAAGCCACAATGCTTAAATATGTTTAAAAATCTGGGCCAATGTGCTTCTGAAAATTCACTTTTGAAAATAGGACTTAGAAGCTTTTGAAAATGTTATCCCCTAGTAGCTTATTTTCTCAAACTTTTGCAGAATTTAACTTAAGGCTTGTCCACATGAACACTTAGTTTGCAGCAAGTTGGGGGGTAAGTCTATCCTACACTAGCCTGCTATACACTAAGGCCTAGTCTACATTACACCTCCCTGTCAATCTAGCCCACACAACTTCCACTATGCACGGTTGGAGCATGAGCATCAGTTTCCCGCTGGGGGTGAGGAGAGAAAGCCTCAAGCCTCGCTGTGTGATCCAGCTCACAGGGAAGAAGTGCTTCTCCACCCCCTCCTGTGGCTGAGGGAACAGCAGCACATGGATGCGCTGCCTGGAGGCTTTCTCCACTACTCCCATTGCCCAGAATCGGCCAATGGGAGCAGTGGGCGGTGGTGCCTGGGACTGGTGTGGGGAGTGAAGGTAAGTAAGTGCCCCCCATCCTCTCATGCCCAGACCCCCGCACCTTCATGCCTCCCCACGAGACCCCACACCCTCAACCTGCTCCTCACTGTCTCCCCTGGCCAGACACTTACCCCAAGCCTTCCCCTGCAGCCTTCCTCCTGGCCAGACACCCTATCCCCAGCCTGCTCCTACATCTTCCCTTGCTCCTGCACCCTCCCCCTAGCCCAGACATCCTGCACCCACCCTTGCTCCTGTACCCTCCCTCCTGGCAACCCACTGAACCTTCCCTTACTCTTGCCCACTCCCCCTAGCTAGACACCCTACTCCCAACTTGCTCCTGCACCCAACCTCCCATTCAGACCTGGCACCATCACCCCTTCTTGCACCCCACCTCCCTCCCAGATGCTTCACCCCCATTCCTCTTGCTGGCAGCCCCGTCCCACACACCCAGCCCCTGAGCCTGGGGAGGGTTCTACAAAATCCACTAATCCTAGAACCCCGGAAGAATAAATCTGAGGTTGGTCCTGCTTTGCCCAGTGGGTTGGACGCAATGACCTCCTGAGGTCCCTCCCAACCTTATGATTCTATGGGAAGTCCTGAACCTCAGTCTTCCCTGTCCTTCCCCCTCCCCGAGTGGGGCTAGAAAACCAGAGGAATGAAGTGTCTCAGTTGGGGGCCACATCAATGAAGGTTGGGTTTTTGGAGGGTTTTTTTTTTATTTGGTTTGGTTTGGTTTCTCACTTGTGTGGTTCCCTACCTCTGCCACAAATAAAGATAACACGGGAACCTTTTGTGTTGGACATGCATTAATATTTTATTTGATTTAAAATGAAGTTTGATAAACTAACCTGAGAAAGCACTTAGTCTGTTTAATACTTTAAATGAATATTTCCTTTCTTACTGGTTAAACAAAACCAGTCTCCTTAGCTGCAGCACTAGCAAAATGGCTCAGATATAATTATGTAATTAATGGCAAGTTTCTATTAGCAACTGGTGGTCCCCAGAAAAGTTTGCATTGAGCCAGATGGGCCCTGGGCCAAAAGGTTTGAGAACCCACTGCGCTAGGGGGAGTGGGAGAGCACTGTGTTGTGAGGGATGGCCGGGAGAGGTTGGTGGCAGTGCAGCAGGGATGGGGGAACAACACCCCCCACCCGTGAGGAGTGGACCGGGCCCTGCCCACACTCACCAAGTGCTAGCCTTGCCGAGCAGGTAGAGCAGCACCAGGCAGAGGCAGCCGAGGGAGCAGGGGGCCAGGGCGGCGGCACTGCCCACCATGATCCCAAAAGGTGATTTCTATAAAAGCTTTATTACTCTGTATATTTTTAGCATGTTATAACAAAATCATTTTACCAATCACTGTTTCCACTCACATTTTTCATTAACCTCTCATGTGCACTCATTGCA